TCAGGTGACATCTTCGAGCCTTTCCAAAGTCTTCCCACAAGCCATTCCCAAAGACTCTTGAACCACATAGTCAGGTATAGTCACAGCAAGACTCCACTGGTTGCTGTAGGGTATGCAAGGGAAAAGACATAATACAGGCCATATAATTTATAGAATTATTTTATAATAGTCACCCCAAAAGAGTCAAATACAAAACAGTGCAGGAAATCTATCCACATTCTAGAGACCCAAAGAATACTGAGGGCCTTCATCTCATGAACAATGTCCTTAACAAGTCCAGCTGGAGACCTAGAGCTCGAGGCAATGTCCACTGTGAGTCCAACTGGAGGCCTAGAGCCCAGGACAATGTCTCAGGCAAGCCTGTTTCAAGGATCTGCACTGTGAAGGCCCAAAGGCCTGTGGTGGGTGCTAGAAAGTCTGCACTAGCAGATGGAGGATCTGTGCCAGCAGGCTAAAGGCTCAGGGCTAAAGCCAGGAAGCGATGCTTAAGGTAAGGACCAGAGCTCCCCCTAAGAGCCATCCTCAGTGACAACAAGGTCCTGAGTTTCTCTGATGACAAGAACAGCCGAGTTCATCTCAGGAAAACCAGCACAATATGCTTCTCCAGGAGATTCAACAGCATACCTCCTCCTCTCCAGTTCTCCTTGCTATATTATTGGCGACAGTCCTCAGATGAACCCTCTATATCCAGAACCACACTGATTCAGTTCAGCTGGGTGTCACAAGTTGACCACTCATTGTCAGTCCATCACAGTTTTATAAAACTTTAATAAATTTGAAAATATTTTGTCATTATCTTTTTCATATTTTCTTTTTATTTCTGTTTATTTTCTGTTCTCCCTTCTTTACCTGTGGCTTTACATGTATATTAGATCATTTGCTTTTGTCCTTGGGTATTCGGTTAGCTTTTATCTGTACTCTCTTACTCCTTGTGTTTGCAGTAGTTAGGTGTTGGATGCATCCCAAAGACCCTTAGGTTAAAGGCCTGACCCCCCCCCAGGGTGGCACTAATGGAGGTGATGGAGTCTTTGGGAGGTGCATGCTCATAGGAGGTCTTTGGGTCAGTGAGGGTGTGCCCCAGAAGAGTATTTTTTTTTTTTTAATCGGTACCGGGGATCGAACTCCCAACCGCCTGCTTGCAAGGCAGGTGCTTATGCCGCTGAGCTAAATCCCCAGCCCACCCCAGAAGAGTATTGTAGATATGGGCCTTCTATTTTTTTTTCTCTTTGCTCCCTGGTTTATGAGGTAAGGAATTTTATTTTGCTACATTCTTCCACTATGCTATTTTGGCATAAGATAAAAGTGATGGGAGCACTGATCATAGAGTGGAACTCCAAAGCTGTGAGCTCAAAAGAACTCTTTTCTTTTTATAAGTGATTATCTCAGGCATTTCACTGCAGTAACAGAAAGCTAACACAGTGTTTCAGCTGGGGTAGTTCGTATTGCTTTATTTTCAAGTTCACTGAGTCTTTGCTATGTTTGGTTTGCTGATAAACTCATTGCAAGACTTCTTTGTCACTTGTACTGAGTGCTACTTTCCAACAATTTCCTATTTGTTCTTGGAGGCTGCCCCCCACTATTATCTGATAGTTTCAATATTTTAGTCAACCCTAGGGTTTTATTTTCTTGAGTTAGATGTTCTCTAGATGCATGTGCACAATTGACTTCTGACTAGCCAGGACAACTCTTGTGCCTCACTGTGCCCAACAGGTCTGATGTTTTTATCTGGTTCCTTTTATGTCTCAAAAATAGGGTTTTTGATTTTTGTGGAGGGGTACGGTGGTGCTGGGGATCACACCGAGGGCCTTGTGCATGCCTGGCAAACATTCTACCACTGAGGTACCGCCCCAGCTCTTGGTATTTCCTTTTACTTAATTTTATGTGTGTACTACAATTTTTGACTACCAGGCATTGTATATGTAAGAATAGTTGTGGATGAGGTAAACGAAGCTTTCTAGAAATGGGCCTGTTTCTTCCTCCCATCTTCAGCTTAGGGTACCGAGCCAAGCCAGCCTGTAGTTGCTTTGGCCTTAGGTTCTGTCTTTGCTGTACGTGCTTCACATTTCTTCAAGGGAACTGCCACTACTTTATGCTTCATATGAGGGCTTGAGTCCTGAAAGTATTTTCTCATGACTTTTTGCTCCACTAGTCACGCATGCATGCAACACACAGGGCGTCTCTTTGTGGCTTCTAGCCCCTTCCTCAAGTTAAACTGCTGTTCCTTTTAATGTGGTGCAAGATTTGTGGTGGAGGCAATGAACTCTTGGTTCTCTTGCTCTAGTTTCAGTCTCAGACAGTCCTGACCTCAAACCTCAGGAGAGGGGCTTTGTTTCTGTTCCTCTCCAGTTTCCGATAGCTCTACCTTTTCTTCAGTGCAGGTGCTAGATCAGAGGCAGGTTTCTGTCCCTCCCTTTTGTGGGAACCAAACTCTGCCTCACTGGTGGGGGGTGTGAATGAGATTTGTGATCTCCCAGCAGCAATGGCTGCAGCAAGCAGAGGAGGAGGAAGAGGAGGAGGAGACAACACTGCCTCTTGCTTTTTGTATCAGTGTAAGGTCCTGGGCACTATGGGTTTCCTGGTCCTTGCTAGTGCCAAATGGTTTTTGCTCAGTATCAGTGCAGGGTGAGGTGTGTGTGTGTGCTTGCGCGTGGAGGGAAGGTTCCTGCTCCTACGTGGAAGCGATGGACTTTTACCTGGCAGTAAGTTAGGGACCTGTGGGCTGGGGGATGGGGTGTCTCGCATCAAGCAAGGTGCAGATAGCTCTCTGCAGCAGCCACACACCTTGTACTTCTGCAAGGCCCAGAGCTCAGAGGAGTTTTCCAGGCCTTCTTTCTCCAGCCTCAAACCTTGGCAGGTCCTGTGTGTCGGCCTGGAGCCTCCCTCTGGTCCTGCTCTCCCTGCAGACATTCTCACTATCTAGTGACTGTGGAATTCTCTCGCACTGGGGGCTCTTGGCGATTCTAAACTGCTGCTTTAGCCATTAAGAATTCATTAAAATATCAGTTTTTTGTTGAGTGACAGCTGCCCCTTCATCCACAGTCAGAGGCCAAACAGTTCGTGTGTTTTGTGTATCAGTGGTGTTGTCTACCAGTGCCATTATTATTAGAATCAGTTCACTAGTTTACTTTGGATCTCAACTCTCCAAAGGGCTCAAAAATGGATTTTGTATGTCGTTTGGATTTTTACATTCTCATGATGGAGTAATAGTCTTTTGTGACTCTATGTCCTAAGTGGAAATAGAAATCATTTTAATATAGTTTTTGGAAAGAACTTTGGAAAGAAAATTTCTTTGGAAAGAAATTTGTTAAAAAACAAATTTCCTGTTCAGTGTTTCTATTATGACTATATACATTTGATTCTCTGTTAAACCAACTTGTATAAAAAGATTAATTTTTTCCTTATACAACTTGCTTTTATTGAAATTAATTGCTTTTTACTTTTCATTTGTGTGCTTTCTGTAAGACATGTCTCAAAATAATTTTTCCATGTGTTCAAATCAGACTATATATTCTTTTCTTTCTTCTTTTTCTTTGAGGTCTCCCTTCTGGAAACTTCTTTTCTCCTTTTCCTTTCTGGATAGGATGTGTTCTATACTTCTTCAATCATCAGCCTGGGCCTTCTCTTCACACATCCTAAGGGAGAGGCTTCCCCCCTTCTGTGGTGAGGTTTCCCATACTCCATGTTTTCTTTCTCCATGACTTACACCCTCATTTTGTTGGAACACATCCTCTGATAGCTTCCTAAGAAAGGGTCCCTGTTTAATTTTGATCACTCACAAATTGAAACCTAAAAACTCAATTGCTTGGGCTTCATTACTTGTGAGACTTTCCTGTAAGTTGGGTGTTAGCCATTTCATCAAAGAATACCAAAATGTCAGTAGCTATAAAGTACTTTTCTAGGAACGGCCAACTCTTCAGAGAATTTTCTCTTGATTTGGGCCTTAGCCTTGACTGCTGCAGCCTTTTGGAGGCTGAGCTGGCAAGGAGATGAGGAGGGGATTTGGCTTAATTTTTTATACCAAAATGTAGCTCTCCTACAATTCTCTATGAGAAAATTTACTCTCCAGGGAGTAAATTTTATGTTGGAGAAGGCCTGTGCATGGTATAGTGATTAAAAAGACTCCTGGACACTCCAGGTGGCCGAGGAGATTTAGGGATTAAGTTGGACAATTAATTAATTTCTAGGGGTTTTTTTTGGAGACAGAGTCTCTTTGTAGTTCAGGCTGACTTTGAACTCACTGTGTAACCCAGATTGGCCTTGGCTCAGGCCTCCTGGCTCAGTCTGCAGAGAGCTGGGATTACAGGCCTGTCCCATACTTGGCAGCTGGACTCTAATGTCACAGCCAACAACCTCCTGTTTTAACCTCCTCCTTTATCCCTGTTTCAGAAAGAGCTGGTGCCTCACTCTCCAGTGTTTCCCAGGTGGGAGGCTTCTTCTCATCCGCTTCCCCACCTCTCCACACCCCTTCTCACTGCAGCCACACAGTTTGCTGCAGGTCCAGCTTTGTAGCCTGACAAAATTATTACCAGGGGGCCTCTTCCGTTGTGGCCTTCAAAGTTTGCTGTTATCCCTGACATCTGCTGTTATCTTTTCTCTACGGTCTCATCGGTGGCTCAGTGCCTGTTTTATTCATTGACTCTCATTTTCGTGGGGTCACAGTGGGGAGATGTGAATTTACTGTATTTAAGCAGAAGCTTGTTTGTTCATTTTAAAACTGAGTAAAATGAGGGCAGAAAGACCTTTACAGGTGAGTCAATGACAGGGAAGGATTGGGAGACATATTTCTTGCTCCCAAGCAGTTTACCCTTGGATAAGGTTGGGGCTGATGCTGAGGGACTCTTAATAGGCCCTCTAATGGGGGGAAACTCACGCTGAGCCAATGGCAGTTATTACCTAGTGCTCAGACATCATAGATTTAGGGACCTGATTTCAGATACTTTCAAGCAGAGTAAGACCCTTTGCTCTCTGTGTCTTAGTTTCCTCATCTCATTATGCTCCAGGTCCTACGACATGCCAGGGTCCTAGAAGTCAAAGGTGGCTTTTACCATGATGACAGTGGCTTCACCTTTTCCAGGACAGGAGCCAGTTCTTGGAGGAGACCTGGGACAGAGCATGGATTGCTGCGGGGCCCTTTTCTTTCTGTGTCTTCTGACATTGCAGGGCACAGCAAAAGGTAAGAGAGCTCTGTTGCAAGGGCTGGCCCAGTCCAGGCCGTGGCTGTGATGTGGGAGGCGAAGGCCTCAAGCCATGGGAGGTAGAAAGGGGCCATTTTGGCTTTGGGAGGCACAGCAACATCTGAGGAAAAGAAGTCTCTCAGGTTGGATGTGGCAGGCCTTGGGGGCAGAGGTGGCTGAGGGTGCAGGCTGAGGGGAGTCTGAAGCTTGCTTTTCACAAAGCCAACAATGTTCACAGGGATAACAGGGAAAGAAGAGGTCCTGGGCTACATGCGGAGGATGGAGCAGCAGCTCAAGGGCCGGAAACCCCCTTCTGTTGAGTGAGTTGGTATCATCCTCATCTGCACAGTCAGCTTTACCTCCCGTCCCAACACTGCACTCAACAGTGATCTAGGGCTGGTCTAGCCTAGACTCTACCACGAATCATAGTGGGGCATGCTGGTTATCCTAGCACTCTGGGAGGCTGAGGCAGGAGATTGCAAAACTGAGCCCATTTTTTGGACAATTTAGCAAGACCATCTCAAAATAAAAATGTCTGGGTTTGTAGCTTAGAGGTAGAACACCTATGGGTTCCTTCTCTAGTGCCTCAGAAGGAAAAGTTTCTGTGCCTGTGTTCAGCATATATTTATTGAATACCTATGGTGTGCATACATTTATTGAGTATCTGCAGCGTGCAGAACAAACAGTCACTGCTCTCCTGGAGTTTATTGTCCAGGGTGGGGACCCCTAACTGTCATGAACCTAAGTGAGCTCACTTTTCCAGAATGGGTCTTCTGTAATTGTGGCTGTACTTTCTAGGGTCTGTGACCCTAAGATTAAGCAGTTCTGGGGAAAAGTCAAAGCTGGTTCTGCTGGTTACTGGCTGGGATGACAGGCTACTTTGCTCATTGGGTGGGGGAAGCAATCATGAAACACTTCCTGGAGGAGGTGACAGCAAACTGGAACCTGAACAGAAGTTAGCTGGGAAAAGGAGATAGGTGGGGTGGGAGAGGCCAGAGTGTGACATGATCTGGAGATGGGAATGATGGATTGGGGTTGGGGGTGGGAGGCTCTGTCCCCCCTGGCTCTGAGCCCCCTCCCCTGGTACCACCTGGCCCTGTGTCCTGCTTGCAGCCAAGTTCATAACCTGGAGCAGAAGCTGCTGAATGCCACCTTTAATGACGACAAGCTAAACTTGAGCACAAACAACATCCACTCTCTGGTCTTCAAGCTGGGCTGCAACTTCACTGGCCTTTCCTTGAGTAGTGCTGCTCTGGAGAAGGTTCCCCAGGTCAGAGACCAGGGCATGGGATGGCAGTGCTGCCCCAAGTCCTGCGGGAATTTAAAGTCCAGGCTTTCCTGGGCCTCAGTGTCCTGCCCCCAGCCCAGGCTCCTTCCAGACTAGAGCCTCCTGTGCAAACCAGCAGAAAGGAAGGTGCTTGTGGCCCTCAAGGGCAGTGTTTCTTCCTGCCTTCAGCTGTCCCTGGGTGTGGGAAAGGCCAGAACCTTGGCCCCTTCTTAGCACCCTGGATGCCTGGTTGGTGTGGGATGCTGGTGGGGAGATTGCTCCTCCTTGGGGCCTGAGCTGATGGGGAAATCACCCAGATTCCAGCTGGAACAGCATGACAGAAAGCCTGAGGCTGGGGAGTCTAGAGGTTTCTGTAGTGGGTGGACCTAGGAGGGAGCTTCCCAGGGAAGCCAGGAAGATCCCAAGGCATGGGGCCCACTTGGGGGTCCTAGGCACTGGGCTCAGGCTGCCTATGGTCCCCACAGGCCCGGGCCCGGCATGCCATGCACTTCCCTGCAGAGCTGACCCGGGACGCCTGCTCAACCCCTGTCCGGCCCAGGGAGCTGCGGCTCATCTGCATCTACTTTTTTACCAACTCCTTTTTCCAGGTCAGCAGAAGACACAGAGGAGGGCAGAGCCCATGTCTTCTGGGGCTCCGCAGGCATCCGCACATTGTGGTGCCTGAGCTGGGCCTCATTTCTTTACTGGCTATAGGGAGGTGTAATTGCAATCCACAGATGAAACTAAGAAACTCAAATTATAGAGGCCTGTGCAGGAGGCAGGTGCAAGGCACAAGGTCTGTGTCCTGAGAGAACTCACCATGTAGACACCTAAACCAGGACCTTGGAAAAGTAACGTTAACAGTAGATCAATTGTGACCATGGAGACACACAGCGTTGGATGAGTCAGGGTGGGTTGGGGCCAGGAGGGCTTCTGGAGAAGGTGCCCTTCAACCCTGGTTTTGAAAATGAGCTGGGATAGTGACAAGGTGAGAGGATGAGGCTGGATTGCAACAGCCAGCTCGGAGGTGGGCGGGATGCTGAGCTGAGACTGCACCTGCCACTTGGACACCTGGAGGCCACTCTGGTTTCTTGCTGTGGAGGAGGGGCTAGGAAGCAGGATGCAACCTTATCCATATACTACCCCCCCCTACCACTTAACCCTTGTTTTGTGCTTCAGGATGACAAAAACTCATCTCTGCTAAATAACTATGTCCTGGGAGCTCAGCTGGACCAAAGACGAGTGAAGAACCTCAGGGACCTGGTCAACATCAGCTTTTGGCACAACCAAAGTTTGGTACTATTGGGGGCGCCCACATTTCCATCCTATCGCTGTCCTCTCTGGGGCTGCCCTGTTGAATGCTGGTTTGGCTCTAAGATTAGAGTCAATGTTCAGATTGGTTTGACTCAGAGCTGAGCTGCTACCTTGCAAAGAAGGCACCATTACACAGTCAGAATTCCTGCCAAAGGAATAAGAAAGAAGCTTCTGGTCACTGCACTCATTATCAGGATTTTTCTAGTTGTTGGTGATGGAAAACCATCTCAAGCCAGCGTATGCACGAGGGGAATTTTATTAGCTTATATGGATGAAATGTGCAGCAGTTGCTTTGGTTCCCTCATGGCTCACACTGTCTCGGTCTCTCAGCAGTAGTTTCTTGCTGTGGTTTCCTTACAGTGGCAAGGTGCATGCTGAAGTAACAGTCTTCCCTGCTGTTTTTCCAGAGGGCTTTTCCTACCAGTGCAAATCAGTATTCCAGGATCCTAGAGGTTCAAATGGGTCATGTAGCCAAGCCTGAGTTAGCCTCTGCCCAGGGGGATGAGATGTGTGAACTGGGGTCGTGGAGTGCACGCCCAAGGGAGTGCAGGGCAGATGCTGGCCACTGGGTGGGCACAAACTCAGTGCCCTGCTTCTCTGTCCCTGTCATCTCTGGAAAGCTCAAAGCCCTGCTCTGCTCTCCGTGAGGATTATTCTACACTCTTTTAGGGGGTGGGTACTGGAAATTAAACTCAAGAGTGTTTGCACTCTGAGTCATGCCCAAACCTTTAAAAATTTTCGTATTTTGAGACAGGGTATCACTAAATTGTTCAGAGGACTCAAACTGGTGATATTCCTACTTTAAGGAATATCACCAGTTTGATTTCCTCCTGCCAAAGTCCTCCTGCCTCAGCCTCCCAGGGTGCTGGGATTATAGGAATGCATTACCAGCACTCAGCTTCTGTACTCTACTTCACCACTGTTCTTTCTTTTCTTTTCTTTTTTTTTTTTTTGTCTTTTTCCTTTTTATCAGTACCGGGGATCGAACTCACGACTGCCTGCTTGCAAGGCAGGCGCTTATGCCGCTGAGCTAAATCCCTAGCCCTACCACTGTTCTTTCTTTGCAACTACTGGGCTTTGCCACTTCAGTACCCTCTAATGGAATAAAATCAAATCCTCTGAGGCCTTGGCACCAGCCTCCACCCCACAGTGTCCTGATATAGCCCTGTCATTTGCCCAGCCCTCCACCACCTGGGTGGCTGTGACAGAATGTCTGTGTCTCACACTGGGCCTGGGCCTGGATAACGCATGCTTCCCACTGATGGGGAGGAAGGAAAGGGACAGCTGCACCCAAGGCTAGAGAGGTACTTGTGATGCCCTGGTGCCTTTCGTTTCCCACCAACTTGGGGCCTGGGCCTGAATGATCCCACTTTTCAGATGGATACACTGAGACCCAGCTAAGTTTGCTGACTTTCTCAAGGTCCTCTGTGCACCTGTGGTGGAAGTGGGGCTGGCCTGGAACCATCATAGCCCAGCCAGTGTCTTGTCAAGTGTTGACAAGTATGCATTTGTGCATTTGAGTCTCCTGTGGCCTGTGGGACGCCTGACACCTTGATCTTCAGCCGGTCTTCTGCATCCCTGGGATTAATCCTCATCTCCCCTCAGGCAGGCTACACTCTGACCTGTGTCTTCTGGAAGAAGGGAGCCAGCAAGCTCCGCTGGGGGGCCTGGAGTCCCAAGGGCTGTCACACTGAGCAGCCCTCACCTTCACAGGTGCTGTGCCGCTGTAACCACCTCACCTACTTCGCGGTTCTTATGGTAGGTGCACTTTCAGCCTGGCGAGGGATCAGAGCTGCAGAGCACCCAGGTGTGTGGCAGGGGGAAAAGCAAAAGCTGGTATAAGGGACAGAAAATCCAACTCAGATTGGTTACACACACACACACACACACACACACACACACACACACATACTGGCTCATGTTGCTGAAAAGGTTGGGTTATGCTTCAGGCAAGTATTGATCCAGAGGGCTGAATATTCCTAAGACAAGACTTTGTTTTTCACCTGTGCTTGCCCCATGCTGGCTCAGCCCTCAGGCATGATGTCCCATCAGGGTAATAAAAGGCCTGCCAGGCAGCTTTCAGGCTGGCGGGACCACAGCCTCTGTTACCCAGTTCTGCCAGCCAGAGCCTGGAGAAAGATCTACTGGCTTCATATGTGTTTTATGTTGTGTCTTGAGCCAATCTCTACAGGCAGGAAGAGGAACGACTCTGCTAGGCCCCTACCCACACATCCGTGTGCTCCCAGAACAGAGGAGGGGCATTTGCATAGAGGAGGGGGATGGGAGCTGGGAAAGGCAGAAGTCACTATGTCTGCCGTGGCCTCTGTCAGGCTAGGACTGGGCCTGGCTGGGGGGAAAGGGAAGAGAAGGCCGGCGTGGTCCTCCTGACAGAGCCTGGAAGGGCCCCTCCGTGTTTCAGGCTTGCAGCCCCACATCCCTTCCACAGCAACTGTCCCCGGCTCCTGTGCCTGCAGAGCTGCTGGCGCCTCTCCAGTACATCTCCCTTGTGGGCTGCAGCGTCTCCGTCGTGGCCTCGCTACTCACCATGGTGCTGCACCTCCGTGCCAGGTACTCTCTGTCTCGGCACTGGCTTGCCCCACACCCTGCTTTTTCACCTGGGCTCCTGCTCAGCCCTGCAGACCTGTGGTTGCTGTCAGGTCCCTGCTCAGTGTCCCCAGCATTGTGCATCTAGGAGCCCGGGGGTGGCGCTGCCTGAGTGACATCCCCAGGCCATACTCTTTCCTGTAGGAAGCCCAATGACTCCACAAGACGCATCCATATGAACCTGCAAATCTCAGTGCTGCTGCTGAATGTCACCTTCCTCCTGAGTGCCATGCTGGCTGTGCCCGCTGGGGCTGCATGCGTGGCGCTGGCGGCTGTCCTGCACTACGCCCTGCTCAGCTGTCTCACCTGGATGGCCATTGAGGGCTTCAACCTCTACCTCCTCCTGGGGCGCGTCTACAATGTCTACATCCACCGCTATGTGCTCAAGCTTTGCACGCTGGGCTGGGGTGAGCCAGTACCCTCCTCCCATGCCTGCCGAAGCCTTCAGTGGACACGGAGTTAACTCTTGGTCCTCTCTTCCTCACCAGAGTCACTCCTCTGTAAATGTAGCCACAGTCCCTTTCACACCCACCACTGCTTTCTGTATTACTAGCTTGATCACACCTCCCCCTCCATCAGCAACACCATCACCTCTAACCGCCTCTAACTCATCCACTAGTACTATGACTACCAACATCTCTTCCACCTCCAGCAGCACCATCAGCTCCATCACCAGTGCCTCCACCATAGTCACTTCCTCCTCCTCAGCATCCAACCCACCATCACCTCCCCCAGCCCCGTGCCCACCTCCACTTCCAACAGCATCACCTCTGCCTTAATCTCCACCACCCCAACTCCACTGCTACCATTTCCATCACCATTTTCCTGTATTCCATCATCACCTCCACCCTCCTCCTCATCATTATCACTGTCTCCGTCACCATGGGAACCAATGCCACTGTTTTAGCCCCCTTTTTTATGGTCTTAGTTCTTCACTAGGTTCCTCCCTCTCTCCCACTACTCCTTGCCACCATGTTCCCATTGTGACCACCACTACTGCCATTCCCATTTTGTCCTAGAATGGTCACTAGAGTCATCTTGGGGAAGGGTCAGGAGAGCCTCTAACCCTAATCCCTGATGCCACAGAAACCAAAGCATCTCTGTCTCCAAGCCCTCCGGCTCACTGCTCTCAGGTTGGACCACATGCAGGGGCCTGAGCTCAGCACAGTCTCCTTCCCTCTCCCTTGCCCAGTGCAGTTCTCTGTTCCTAGGCCCAGGGACAAGGCCAGCTGTCTCTGAGGTCTTTTGATCCTGTGCCCCACTTCAGGAGTCCCGGCGCTCCTGGTGCTACTGGTCCTCGCTGTCAAGAGCTCAGTGTACGGACTCCACACGATCCCCGTCTCCAGCAGCCAGGAAAATGGCACCAGCTTCCAGAACGTGTCCATGTGAGTGCCCCAGCAGGGCAGAAGGGCCACTCAGGCTGGTACTTGAGGTGGTATCTCATAGACAAGGCCCTAGCCGAGGGGTAGTGAGGAAACCAACTCTTAGATGGGGCAAGCTTTGGGGAGGGGGGCTTTGTCCACCCCTTCTGCTACCCAGGTATCTCCTGAAGAAGAAAGGTGGTGTTCTGTGCCTCTAGGGAGCCAAGGACAGAAACCACCACATGCTGATGCTTCTAGGTCCTGGTGGCACATGGGCACCCAGCCACCCAGCTCAGATTTGCCTTCCTGTTGTGAAGGACTGTGTGGTTGGACCCATACGTGACAGCTCTGCCTCTAGACTTCTAGGTTTTGCTGGCACCTGCATGGGCACAGGGCACTGCCAAGCCCCTCAGCCTCCTGGTGGGAGAAGAGAGTGTGCTTGGGGCTGACACGGGGGGTGGGCACGCTATGGGGTCAGGGGTCAGCATATGTATAGCTTGGGGGAGGCAACAGAGGTGGGCCTGGGGGCTGGGTTCCACTGCAGCCTCCTCCTCCTGTCATGAGATGTTAAACCTCATGTTATCAGACCACATTTCCAACCACGAACATAAGAAACGTCCATGGCCCTCTAGCCTTCATGGTCTTTTTTTAGCCAATGGCAGCTCAGGGTGGCCTAGGGCTGCCCTTTGATGGCCCGGGGATGAGCTGTTCACTGCTTGGCCAGGAGGGCCTGTGGTCACCCTGTTTTATAGTCAGGGCAATTGAAGCTCTGTTTAAGAACCAGCCCAAGGAAATCTAGGTACTCAGTATAGAGTTGGAGCTTGGTCACAGGCAGCTGGGTTTAGAGCTGTGGTCCTCCACTGCCTCCATCCAGTTTCAAGTTTCACTAAGGGCTTGGAGCTGAGTGGAGAGGTAGAGTCAGTCTCTTCCCTAGCAGGTCAGGTTGCTGTCTCCATGGAAGTGTGACTTAGCATCCCTCAGAGATGTATTTTATTATGGGATATGTGGTCTGCACTAAAGAGCAGGCCTGGTGGCACATGTCTATGATCCCAGCACTGTAAGAGGCTGAGGCAGGAGGATTGCAAATTTGAGTCCTGGCTTGGCAAATTAGAAATTTAGATAAACCCTGTCTCAAAACAAAAAATAAAGATGGGCTGGGATGTAACTCAATGTGAAGGCCCTGTATTCAACCACTGGCTTGAAAAAAACAGCAACAGGGTTTAAGTGATATGTGACATGTTCACAAGACAGGAAGCACATTATGTGTGAGAACTGGGGACCTCACCCTAGAACAGCTTTTCCCTGGGCTCCCTCACTGCCCCACCTCAGGAAACTGTTACTCTGGCCTCTGAGACTTACTCTTTTGCAGTTCAAACATTGCTCACTACAAACGCATGCATTCCACAATATAAGTGGTGGTTTTAAAAACCACCCTTGAGCTGGGCACAGCGGGCACATGCCTGAAGTCCTGGCACTCTAGGAGGCTGAGACAAGAGAATCACAATCTTCAACCCAGTCTGGGCAATTTATCAACTTAGTGGACTCTGTCAAAATAAATAAATACATTCTGGGGATGTAGCTCAGTGTGAAAGTCCTGGGTTCAGTCCCTCAGTTTTCTCATCTTTGTAATTGGACTGGTTAGGTACTTACTCAAGGGTCCTCACCATGAGGTGGGACAGCCTGTGACATAAGGCACATGACCTGGTGTCCCCTTGGGGACACCAGGGGGCACCTGTTCAGAGGCCTTTGAGGGAAGGCCTAGCACCAGGCCTGGGCCAGTTAGGGCTCTGGCTATGCTAAGCCCATGCGAACGGGCTCCCTGCCCTGTCTGTACCCTGCTCTGGCATGAAGGGGCCCCTCGCCACACTGCTCGCTGCTCCAGAAGGCTGTGCCAGGCCAGTCTAGGTGGGACAGGCTGCTGCGGTGGGGACTTGGCTGCACAGAGAAGGCAGAGGCAGGTTTCTAGGAGAGAGGACCCGGGCCCGGGACCCAGTAGGATGTCACACACAGTGGCATGAAGTTGGCCAGGGAGAAGGAGAGAAAGAAGAGTTTTCAGCTGGGAAAGATGTTGAGCCTGACAGATGAGTGTGGCTGGAGCACCAGGGTGCTGTAGAAAGAGACCGAGGGAGAAGGTGGCCTTGCTGGACAGCTAGACCAAGGGCTTCTCAGTGTGTACTTTCGGGCAAGAAACAATGGTTGGAGAGGCGAAGTGGGCACACTGACAGGGCAGGCTGCCTTGGGGCATGGTGGCACATGCCTGTACTCCCTGGACTCTGAGAGGAGCTGAGCCTGGAGAATTACAAGTTTGAGCCCATCCTGGGCAAGTGAGTGACTTAGCGAGATCCTGTCTGAGGATAAAAAAACAAAACAGAAAAAGGACTGAGGATGCACTTCAGTGGGAAGGCCCTGGGTTCAAATCCCTATAATAGCAGCAGCAGCAGCAACAAAAGAAGAAAAAAGGAAGGAAGGAAGGAAGGAAGGAAGGAAGGAAGGAAGGAAGGAAGGAAAGAAAGAAAAAGAAAGAAAGAAAGAAAGAAAGAAAGAAAGAAAGAAAAGAAAAGAAAAGAGCAAACTGAGGCAATCCAGGGCCCAAGTGCACCCGGCCCCTGCTGGTCCGAGAGCCATCCCAGCCTGGTGCTCTGCCCATGTCACACAGGTGCTGGGTGCGGAGCCCCTCGGTGCATGGTGTCCTGGTCATGGGCTATAGTGGCTTCACGACCCTCTTCAACCTGGTAGTGTTGGCCTGGGCACTGGGTGTGCTGCGAAGACTGCGGCTGCGGACCAAGGGGCCTGGCCCCCAGGCCTGCCGTGACACGGTCACTGTGCTGGGCCTCACTGTGCTGCTGGGCACCACCTGGGCCTTGGCCTTCTTCTCCTTCGGTGTCTTCCTGCTGCCCCAGCTCTTCCTCTTCAGCATATTCAACTCACTCTATGGTAGGCGGAGCCCATGGGCTTGCAGGGAGCCCACCGGGATTGTAGAGGGTGGCACGGTGTTCATTGTCCAAACGGCAAGTGCAAGGTGGTGTCCCAGTGCCATGTGCTGGCTGGGGTGGAGGTGGCAGCATCCAAGCTGTTGGGTCACTGGTGGGTCTCATGTCTTGAGCCCACCTTTTCTGCCCCCCAACAGGGAGAGCTTCTGTAAGGTACTCCTAGGACCCAGGGAGGCCCTGCTTATCCCAGGCCCAGAGGTCCTTGGGTCCTGGGCGTGGCCCCTGGCTGACAACACCAGTCCCACCAATCTACCTTTTCTTGCAGGTTTCTTCTTCTTCCTGTGGTTCTGCTCCCAGAAGTACCGCTCTGAAGTGGAGGTCAAGGCAGAGATGGAGGCACTCAGCTCCTCCTAGATGGTGCACTAACCCAGGCTGGCCAGAAGCCTCAGCCTTTCTGGAGCCTGCAGCCTGAGGCTCTGGCTCCCCCTAGAGGCTGGACACCAAAGCCTCTGTTCCTTCTGGGGAGTCTTTGCTAGTTCCACTGTCTCCCCAGCCTTTGTGACCTGCTGCAGGGTAGGCCCAGCCCCCCTGAGGGCAGCACAGCTGGCCAGGCCTGTGGGCAGAAGACCCATGGCCTGAGTGCTGTTCTAGGCCTAGCTGCATCTCACTCTGTGACCCTGGGGCTGTCATTTCTCGTGGACCCTCAGTTTTTATGTCTGAGACATAGAGAGAAGAGGCTCTGGTCCTGCCTAACCTGGCAGCTTTGTGAACTGTGAATAAGAAGGAGGGTATTAGTGGGGGTTCACCCTGTGACCTATCCCTAAAGCTGTTTTTCCTTTAACTCTGAAATGATAACAACCTCACTCCCAGCCCACCTCTGATTGGGAAATCTAGTCCTTCCCAGAGCCACCTTCTGCAGTGTTCTGAGAACTTCAGGGCATTTTAGACCAGCATCCCAGGCAAAGGGCCTCCTCGGGGTGGTGTTTCTTTCCCTGAAGCTGAGCCACCTGGGCCTCAGCGTCCTGCCTAGGGATGACTGGGCTGTTAGATTATGGGACTGAAGGTGAGAGTTCTAAGCGCCAGACTCAGAATCGTCACTGGCCTGAGCCTGGCTGGCTGATCAAGTGGGAGAGAATGCGCGTGAAGCCCCTGCCTTTCCTAGGATGGACGTCAGGAGGCGCTGGTGGCTTGCGCGCAGAAACATCGACCTCGCGATTGCATCTGGAAACGCTCGCTCGCTACCTTCACCGTCCGTGGATCTGATGCACAGTCTGTCATCCTCTCCAAGAATGCACCAACTGAGTGACCGAAGGAGGAAACTCTAATCTTGTTTACACATCCAGTTACCTCTTTCCCCAGTGCAGCTGTCCGAGGTCGCTCTCAAGGGGCTTGTGCCCAGGCTGGCTGGGGCAGACTCTCAGGGACCTATCCCGGACATCAGACAGAATTTATGACCTTGAACCTCACAGCAAGGGAACTGGAGCTGGACCTGTGTCCTGCCAGTGTTTCCTTTGCTCATCTGTACGTTTCTGGATGCAAATATCTCCTTAGCAGCTGGTGATTGCTGCAGGCGCTGGGATCAGGCTGCCTGGGCTCTGGTGTCAGCTCTGCCCTTGCTAACTGTGACGCAGATGAGTCACTAAATCTCTCTGTGCCTTAGTTTTCCCATGTGTGTGATAGAGCCAGTAATAATACCTACTTTGAAAGTTCAGTAAAAGAATGCATATACAGAGGCTTAGCCCAGAGTTAGTATTTAGTACACAGTTATTACTGTTTTGTGACTATTATTAACAGTGTTAACTGGGTCTCAGAGGCCTGCTTGTCTCACCCCAGGCTCAGGTGTGTTCAACTCTCACCTCTCCTTCCAGCTTTTCTGGCCTCTGCTGTGCTAGAAATATTTTCCATTGAGGACTGTCTCCAGGCTGTCACCACCTCTCCTGTCTCCCAGCTCCCTAGTGTCTGGTGGCCCGGTGTTGTGTCTTCCTCTCCAGCTGCATCATAGAGAAGGCCTCTTTCCCACTCTGTCTCTGGGCAGTGTGCCGTGTCCCCATCAAAGTGCCCTAGGTTAGGCAGCTCCCAAAAGTGGGTTCCTTAACCATTCCCATGAGGATGCTGAGGTCTTGAAGCAACTTAGGCAACTCCTGGATTAGGTCACTGATGTTCCCAAGGTGGCTGGGTCTGCAGCCCCATGAAGCAGGGCCCTGCTAAGGACCCCCAGCCTGGTCTTGAGTCCCTGGCAATCCTGAGGGAAGATATGGCCACAGTGACATGGGATGGTCTAGTACTTCTCAGAAAATCCCAAGCATGTGGCCTTAAGATTTATCAGGGTCCAGGCTCTGGGTGGGGACCATTTCTTGGGAATACTCCAGTGGCCTCCCCTCACTGCCAGCACTCCCAGGAAGAGTCCTGACCCAGCCCAGATGGGGCACTGGGGCCAGCCCTTGGGAGCTTCTGGGAAGAAGGAATGGGGTAGGTTCTGGGGGCCACTGTTCAGAGGACCAGGCTCCCTGTGGTGGTGCTTGGAGAAGGGATGACGTGGGGCCACCGATGAAGGATCTCTGTGTGGTTTGTTTATTTTATTCCAGAAAGGTGCAAGTTGGGGGGGGCACAGCTGAAAGAAGAGTTTTCAGATGTACTGCAGAAAGCCCAATTTTGGAGACAAACTTACACTAAACATTACTCATTGTCTATCTGAAATGCAAATTGAACTGAGTCTTATACATCTGTTTTTATTCGGGCTGAGTCTGGCAGCCCCACTAGAAGAGCATGGTCTCAGAGCTGGGGCTGTAGATTCTTTACTCTTCAGATCAACCCAACCCAGCAGCTCTGCTGCCTCCCAAATGAGTCCCCCACTCACGGTCCAGCTGAGGCTTGTCCTTGTGTTCCCGTTTCTCGTTAAGACCACCATCAGAACTGCTAGGGATCTGCCCTGGCGCCCCCAGCACCCCACCATATGTCCTGCAAAGCTTCCTCACAGCCCTCCCTGCCTCTCTACTCCCAATTCCAACCCGGAAGCCCGAGGGAATTTTCCATCCTGCAGGGCACCATGTCCTTCTCCTTGAATGCCTCCCACCCCCCTTCATCACTTCCAAACTACTGGGGGGACTTGGAGGTCTAGGGGGTCTGGCCTGTGCCGCCTTCTGCCCATCTGCTCCTATTCCTGCCTCGTCCTACTCTATCCTGCCTCCCCAAACTGCCTTCAGTTCCCTGAGTAGTTTCTTTCTCATCTTTGGGCCTTCTCTGCCTGGCACACTGTCCCCAGTGTCTTGCATTTGCAGAAGGACAATGGGGTAGCCTTACAGGCTCAGCTCTATGCAGCCCCCCCAGGCTGGACTAGGACGTGGTCCCTGACTCTGAATCCAGGGCGAGGCCCTCTTTCTGCTCCCTACCCCCATGACAAAAGTTATCCTCTGTGTTACAACCGTCCCCATCTGTCTGGTCTGCTAGACCGGAGTGTTTTGGAGGCAGGTGTTATGTCTCATTTGCTTGTTCATCCATCACATAATTTTAAACATGTATATTTTGGGCACTGCACTAGTTGCCAAGGTCATATAAATGAGCAAGTCATCACATTTTAGAGTGTATGAATGTCCTACAATAAGCAATTTAGTATGTAAATAGAAAATCTGACAGGTGAAGCTGGGCTATGAAGGAGAATAAAGCAGGGTGAGGGGAGAGAGCGGCAGGGAACTCTAGCTGGGTTTCAGCAGAGGGACACTGGTGAGCAGCCACAGCATGCTGGGTTTGGGGGTGCGGGAGAGGGTCAGCTAGCTGGCCTGAGCTGGCTGCTGCCTAGAAAGGAGCTGGTTCAACGCTGGAGTCCTGCAAATTTTTTTCCAGATGGTGGTGGTGAACTTTGATGGAGCTGGAGATGAGGCAGAAGGGAAGCCAGCCTCCTCTGAGATAAAGCGCTTGGGGCAGGTGTGGCCTCCGGTTGGGGTACCCTCTGTGTGTAGTAGAAAGCCAACTCAACGTGGAGGAAAACGTTCCTATGCTAGGCCAGGAGGATCCTGCGGAGTATGAGACAGCAGGCAGCTTCTGTGTGAAACTTCCCAGTTTGGGGAGGTCGGCTGCCAGGTGTAGGAGTCGGCCTGCTGTGTCTTTCATAGACACAGCTCGTGCGTGCCCCAGCAACGGAATAGAGAGTGGCTGCACGGGAGACGCTTCGAAGAATAAAAGATGCAATTACAAAGATAGGTGGATAAAACAAGCAGTTAAAGAGGGAGGTTTGGGAGAAAATGGAACTTAAGTCAGTAAACAATAAACAGTTGAATAGAGAATGAGCCAGAAGGTATTTATAAAGAATAAAGGAAAGAGAGGTAAGAAGTTGAATCATGCAAAGAGTGATTCAGAGGTATAAAGAATAGTATGAGAAGATCTTACATATTAGCATCACAGAAGAAGGAAAATAAAAGAAATGGAAAATAGGCAATGCTTGAAGATAAAATGGTATTAACTTTTCTGGGGCAATGAAAAACAGATCCATAGAATCAGGAAACACAAAGTGTCTCGGGCTTAATATATAAAAATAAATCCAAGTTTATACACATTTTATTGAAACTACAGAATGCCAAAGGCAGAGAGATGATGAAAGTCGCCACTGAAAAAGGACGGATTGTCTCCGGAGGGATGACAGGATGTGAGCCGACTTCTCCGAAGCCACAGCAGAGACTGAGACTGAAATTATACCTTTAAAGTGAAGAGCAAGTAAAGGTCCATTTAGAATTATGACCAACAAAAGATCTTTTCAAGAACAGAGACAAAAGAAAAAATGCATTTCTTTGAACATTTATAGGTAAAGAAAAGCTGAGAGTGGCCTAAAGAAACTTCAAAAAGATGCACTTCAAGAATGAAAATGATTCCAGAAGGTCAGTCTGAGACGTAAGAAGACGGCTGAGCATAGAAAATAGAAAATGTAGGGGAAGCCCACTAACTAATCCTAAGTATGAAGTAATTTCTCTTCTCTCCTCCTCTCTTTCTTTTCTCCTTTCCCTCTCCTTCTCTTCCTCTTCCTCTCCCTCCCTACTCCCTTCCCTTCTTCCTTCCTTCCACACTGGGGATTGAACCTGGAGCCTTAGATGTCTAGCAAGCCTCTGCGACTCAGCTACACCCTCTGTCCTGAAGTGACCATTTCACTTGTGATGTGAAAGAAAGACTGACCTGAAATGTTGGGAAGCAACAGCATAGAAGTCAGGGAGGTGAAGGCTGCACTACAGTGTTCTAAATCCCTTGTGTTGGAGATTGCCATTAGTGCTGTGGTTTGGATATGGTTTAACTGTACTTCCTACAGGGCCATATGTTAGAAGCTTGGTCCCCAGCGTCGTGATGTTGATAGCTGGTGGAGTCCATAAGAAAGGAAGTCTAGCAGGAGGTATCAGCTCATGAAGGTTTCACCATGCTTGGAAGAGATTCGTGTAGCTCTCATGGAACCTTAGACAGCTCACGAGAGTGTGTCCTCAGGAACAGAGGAAGCCTTTCCTCCTCTGTCTGTATGTGCGCCTGCCTCTGTGATGTCCTCACTGTGAGAGCCTCAGCAGGGGCCCAGCCAGTGGGACCACCTGGTCTTCAGCTTTCAGCCTCAGAATCTATGAGTGAAATGGACCCTTTTTTCTTTGTAAAATATCTAGACTGCAGTATTTCGGTAGTGGAAAACAGCTCAATACAATTAGATATTGGTAATTAAATATTTGTGACAAAATCTTCAAGAACAGGTAAATAAAACTAGAATTTGTATATTCTGTTCTAGTGGACAGAAAAAGTATCATAGGAAAAGCAAACAAAAGTAACTCAATTTAAAAAAGGACAAAGGCGAAAAATAAACAAAGAAATCAGAACTAGTAGAAATTCAAAAGTAAGACAGTACAACTTATCTAAATGTATAAATAATTATAATAAAAATAAATGGACTCACTTGTAATCCCAGCCACTCAGGAAGCCAAGGCAGGAGGACTGCAAGTTCAAGGCCATCCTGTACAATACAGCAAGGCTCTACCTCAAAAAGTAAAACACAATAAAGAGACTAACCTGACTAGTTAAAAGGTAAGAGACTTTAAGATTGAATGCAAAAACATAATTTGGATATGTAGTGCTCCTAAGAAATACAGCTCCAAACAATGACATGGGAAGTCTGAAAGTAAAAGGGGGAATCAAGATAGATGAGGAAAAATGTCATCCAATGGGAGCCAGTGCAGCTCTTTTGATACAAAACAAAACAGATTTGAAAATAAAATGCATCAATAGACATAGAGATGATCACAACATAGTGATGAAATATTTGATTCACCAGAAAGATATTATACAGTAGCCTCAAAAGATAGGAAGCAGCCTGATGTGCTGACACATGCAGTAATCCCAGCACTTTGGGAGGCTAAGGCAGGAAGGCCAAAAGTCCAAAGAGCTTAAGTCTACTTGGGCAACTTAGAAAGAGCCTATCTAAAAAAATTTTTTGTTTCTTTTGTTTTTTTTTTTGTTTTTTTCCAAAAGGCCTGGAGATGTAACTCAACGCAAAGGCTTGGGTTAATCTCTAGTATTAAAAAAAGAAGGAAAAGAAAAGAAAACGATGGATCTTAAAGAAAAATTAAGGAATTAAAAAGAAAACCTAAAGTGTCAGCTATAATACAGTATCCATGGATTGGTAGACTCAATATTGTTAAAAGGATGTTCTCCTCAAATTAGGGAGATTCAGTAAAATTCCAGCCCTAATCCCAAGAGACTCCTCGTCCACAGAGTTCAAAGGCAATTCAGTGGAACAAAGAATAATGTTTTCAAAAAATGGTACTGAGTCAGGTATGGTGGCTCATGCCTATAATCTCAGCATCAAGGAGGCTGAAGCAGAAGGATCGCTGGGAGTTCAAGGTCAGCCTGGGCTACACAGAGAGTTCAGGGGCAGCCTGAACATACAGCAAGACCCTGTCTCAAAATAAAAAACAAAAACAGTAAGAATCCATATGCAAAAAATATGAACCTTGACCCATATTCAGAACCATAGACAAAAACTGACTTTAACAGAATCATGGACCTAAATGAAAAACCATAGCATTCTAGAAGAAAGCACAGGCAAAAGGCTTAGTGACCTCGATTTGCAAATATTTCTTAGGATACAAAAGCATGCAAAAATCAATGAATTAGACTTTATTAAACACTTTGCTTTTCAAAAGATACTCTTAAGAAAATGAAAAGGCAAATTACAAAGTGGAAAATATTTGCAAAACATGCCTGAGAAAGTATCCAAAATATATAAAGAATTCTGACAACTTAAAAATGAGAAAACAAGCCAATAAAAATGAATAAAAGATTTGAACAGGTATTTCACAAGAGAATGGATGCAGGTAGAAAAAAAAAAGCACATTTTTTTTCAATGTGCTCTGGGCATCTTTAACCATAAAGGAAATGTAGGTTAAAAACATTAAAACACAAAAAAGATAAATCAGTTCTGGTTTCCTATGGCATAGTAGCATAACTATTGGTTATACTTGCCTATGACATATGTCAAAATGTCTCAAAAAGAAGAGTGAAATTCCCAACTCACAAAACTAACCCAAGTCTGAAGAAATGAAAGTATTTATTACTCTGGTTTGATTTATTAGACATTGTACACACATATCAGACTATCATAATCTAATTGTAGCTGTGGAGAGGCCGAGGCAGGAAGATTGCAAGTGCAAGACTAGTGGGGCAACCTAGTGGGATCCTGTCTCAAGATAAAATTTCAAAAAGGTCAGGGAAATAGGTCAGTGGTAGGGTGCTTGCTTGGGCTCAGTCTCCAGTACCAACTGAAAAAAATTCTCATAATGCCCCATAAAGGTATATAAATGTTATGTAAAAAGCCTCACAGTGATGACACTCTGTATGTCTGACAGCAAACCTACTTAGCGTGCAAACAAAACCCCCAAGCTACACCAAATGCTAACAAGGATGTGGAGCAACTAAAAGTATCTTATAAATATATTGCTTGCAAGAATGTAAAATGGCATAACTATTTCAGAAATGAGTTTGGCAGTTTCTTCCAGGTTAAATATACATCTGCCTTACAACCCAGAAATCCTGCTCCTAGATATTTACCTGGAGAAAGAAAAACATATTTATGCTGATGCTTGTCTGGAAATATTGTTAAAAACAGCAGCTCTGTTGAGATAATACCTTATATACCACACCGTCATCCCTTTACAGATGCGCACTTCAGTGGTTTTTAGATAGTCACAAAACTGTGCAACCATTAGCACTATCTCATTTTAGAACTTTTCATTGTTTCAAAAAGAAACTCAAAACTTGCCTGTCTCGTTCTTTTCCCAGACTCTCATTACTGCTAATCCACCCTGTCTTGAGGATTTGCTTTTTTGGATTTTACATATGCATGGATTTATACACATTAGAAGTGGAATATTTTATTTCTGGCTTCTTTTAGCCAGAAACTTAGCATGTTTCCAAGGCTTGTCCATGCTGTAGTGTGTATCAGAACTTCATTCTTTTTCATGTCAGAAAAGTATTTCATCGTGAATATAGCACGTTTCATTTGTCTGTCCATCTGTTGGTGGCTCTTTGGATTACTTTCAATCTGGTTATTACGAACAATACTATAGTGAATAATAATGTACAAGCTGTTGTATGACTATGTTTTTGATTTTCTCAGGACTAGGAGTAGAGGCCCACGGAGTCCAGGAATCATAGGATAACTCAATTTTATTTTTTTAAGGAACTATCGAACTTTTTCAAAATAGCTGTATCATCATTTGTTTTTGACTTCCAGCATTTAGCAGGAAGGTGGCTATCAGGTAGGAGAAAGATGGAACTTCACTCACTGTGGTCTGGTATTAATGAAGCTCTTCCACTGGGCTCACTTCATGGAAGACATTGGCAGTGGCTAGCAGTGTGTGAGGATTTCACTTTCTCCATATTCTCCCCAACACGTGTGATTGTCTGGCTTTTTTATTGTTGCCATCCTAATAGACATAAGAAATTGTACACAAACATTTATAGACTATTTATTCACACCTTCCCCAAAGGGGAAATAGCCCAAATGCACACTGATTAGATAAACAGTAAGACTCATACATTAGAATGACATGGATGGATCTCAAAGTCATTACGCTAAATGACAAAAGGCAGACACAAAAGCTATGAATGATCCCACTTGCATGACATTATAGAAAATGCAGAATATGGGGACAGAAAACAAATGGACCAGAGGTTACCAGAGATGGAGCTGGAGAAGGGATTGACTACAAAGGATCACAAGGGAATTTTTAAAAAGCTTTAACTTATTCTATGCTTACTGAAAAACGGAAGATAACCCCAATAATTCCCATACACTGACACCTAGCTTCTCCTATTACGAGCACCTTGTGTTAGTTTGGTACAAATGTCACAAGTCTTGATCCAGCATTGTTCACTGGAGTCCACACTTTACTGAGTTCAGCTTTTCTCTAATGTCCCCTTTCTGCTCTAGGATCTTGACTAGGGTGGCACATTCTTTTGAGCTATCACGTCTCCTTAAGTTCCTCTTGGCTGTGACAATTTTTCAGACCTTTTTGTTTTTGATGACTGTAACAGTTCTGAGAAACAGGTCAGGCATTTGTAGGATGTCCTTCAGTTAATGTTTGTCTGATGTTTTTCTTCTGCTTTGACTGGGACTACTGGTCTAGGGGAGGGAGAACCCAGAGAAATGTCACTTCTGTCACAAACTATCCAAGGAACAAGCCATACAAAGGGCTTGCTAATGTGATGTTGATCTGGACCATCTGGGTAGGGAGAGTTTTTTAGGATTATGAGGGAACTTTTAGGATGATGACAATATTACATATTTTGACAGTGGTTATTGCATAACTGTATTTATCAAAAATCACAGAACTGTTCATTTAAAAAGTGGATTTAATAATTTAAATTTACTTCAATAAACCTGATTTTTAAAAATTGATAGGGAGAAACTCATAGGTCCACCATCAGCATCAGATATTTCAAATGCATCTCTTAATTATTAATGGAAAAGATGAAAAAATAACCAAGATGTAGAAGATTTGGATGGCACGAGTAACAACTTCATCTAATGGACAGTAATTGAATCCTGCATCCTGCAGTCAGATTCTTCCCAGGCACTCATGGGCCATTTACAGCAATCAATTATATCCTGGCTTAGAAAGCAAGCTCCAAAAAATCAAAGAGAGAGGACTTTCTTTGGCCACAATGCCGTGCAGTCAAAAGATAAAAACAAACATGATTTTAAAAATTTCCATGTATTTGGGAATTTTCTTAGGGATAGACAAATTGACCAAAGAAGAGGGGAACCAAAAAGAATGTGGAACGCTGATCTAGGGCAGGGGAACTTGTCAGAGCAGCAGGCAAGAGGTTCATAGACTGAGTGCCTATGCATGTAGATAAAACAACCGTTGGATCACCACCTTACAGCTTCCTTGAGAATGAGTTCTTCTAAGTGCTCAAAGCAAAACTTTAATACTGCTTGAAGAAAATATGGGTTAGTATCTTCTGACTTCATGGTAGGGAAATAATTTTTAAATAAAAAAATTAATCATGATGAAAAGACCGAAACAATAAAAAATAATACTTTCTCTTCACCCAAAGACACCTGAAAGTGAGTGAAAAGACAAGCCAGATCTAGAATATACAGATCTGTTCTCTATTACTATAATGAACTCCCTAAGGCAAGGTAGCTTACAAAGAAAAGAGGTCTATTTATCTTTCAGTTTTAGAGGTTGTAGTCTGTACAGCCTTGTGCTGGCTCCGGGGAGGTATCTCTGGCAGATTGCTTCACCATGGTGGGGGTTTATGGGAGAGGAAGAGATCATGTAACAAGACAGGAAGTCAAAGGCCCCAAGGCCCCACTTCTTAAAAAGTCCCGCCTCTTAAATTTCCCACCACTTACCATTGCTGCTCCAGTAACCAAGCTTCCAACACATAAACCATGGGAGCACACACTTAAACCGTATACAAAGCATAGCCCACACATATCTGATTTAGGCTTTATATCAGGAAACCCAATGGATCAGTAAGAAAAGAACAAACAAGGGGGAAATGGGAAAAATGAAATGGCATTTCACAAAAGATGAATGTTCTTGCCAAGAAGTGTGAAGAAATGCTTAAATCCACTGGCAATCAGGCACATGAAAGTCAAGAGTGCCACAAGGTATCACCAACACATGTGATTGCTAACAATTAGGTCTGACATTATTAAATGTTGTTGAAAATGTGAATTAACAGGAACTCAAAAAATTGCAGGTAGGAGTGTAAGCAGGTTTAGCACTTTGGAGAAATAATTGGGCATTTGTTTGTACAAATGACCATGTAGTCATCAAAGTTTCCACTCCACAGCCACCAGATAAAGTCAATAACTTAAGAGACAAAATAATAGGAGAAGAAAAGCTTTATTAGTAGGAGACGGAGGCTGTCACTCAAATTCCATCTTGCCAGGGGACATAGGTGCAAAGTTTCTACGGGGGCTCTGTGGGGCCAATTTTAGCCATAGGCAGGCCCCAGAATGCTCATCAGTTCCCTTGGGTGTGGTTTTGATGATGTCTACGGGTGATCAGGCTTTCAGGCATTTGTTATTCCTGTAAAACTTGGGGAAGGTTACTTATTAGGAGATGTATGACTGGTGTTGTTCTTTGCCTTATCCCTGTGTTTTCCTTTTCTGACAAGGTTGACTATATTGGTTAATTATTTGGAGAGGGAGACATAGGGGAGTGAGTGGAATTCACTTACAGAGAAAAACAGACTTGCTAGGGCTTGGAAATGAGTTAACCATTCACTGGTTTCACGCACTGGTGAACTTAATTCCAGCTCTTCTGTGTTCAGGATTCTGTCTAAAAGGGAGCCAGAGATGCACCTCGCATGTTCCTACCAGCACTGTTTGTAGCTACAGAAGTGTCAGAAGTAGCGTGCTGCCTATGAGTGCAAGTGTGGTGAGAAAATTGTGCTGTGTATGCAATGGAATATTGTGAAGCCATGAAAATGAATGGATCACAGCTACTGCCAGACACAGACGAACACTTCTCCACATGAGTGAATAACCCAAGTCCCGGAGAATATATTAGTTTGGTACTTTTTTTTTGGTAATATTTGAAACTAAGAAAAAACATAATATCTATGCATGGTGCTAAGTAAGTTATGCAAGCAGAACAAGGCAGTGATATATACAAAATCAGGTCACCTCTAGGGCAAGGGAAGGGGAGGCTAGGAATTTGGATGTTATTTATACACAGATGTGGGAGCCTGTTCTCTCTCTCTCTCTCTCTCTCTCTCTCTCTCTCTCTCTCTCTCTCTCCAGCTTCCTTTCTTTTTTGGAGCACTGGGGATGGAACCCAGGGCCTTGTACATGCTTAGCAAGTGCTCTACTCCTGACTTGACACCCGGCTCCAAAATTTATATACTGAAATCTTAGTCCCTAAGGTGACAGCATTAGGAAGTAGATCTTTGCTTTGATTTTTGAGGTGCTGGTGGGGGGCGACCCAGTGCTTCATGCATACCAGGCAACTGTTTTACCAGGGAGCTGCACCTCCAGGTCAAGGGGACATTTCTAAGAAGAATGGCGATTCCATTGGGTGCTTGAAAAGATGCCACGGTGTGCGGCAGGCATCACTTCTGTTGCACATTCAGGCGTTTTCTTCCCTGAACTCTGTTTTCTCTCCTAGTAAGGATAAGAGGAAGTCTGCACTGGGTACCAAGTGGCCTCAGAATACATTACCAGCCCACTCACTTTCCACCAAGCCCTGTGAGGTAAGTTAGCGTCACACAAAACACACGAGGAAACCAAAGCACACAGGTGGCAAGCTGCTCCCCCAAAATCACAGCTTCTTGGCGCTGCTCTCAGAGCCGAACCGGGCTCTGCTGCCCTATCAGTAGTCGGAGGAGAGGATGAGCCCGCGGGCGGCGACTCCATGCTGCGAGGGGCTGTATATGTGCGTTCACCTCATACTCACACCAGCCTGTCCATTTGTCCCTTTATCCACTCATTCTTTTATCCATTCATCTCTTTGTCTGTCCATCCACCCATTATTCTATTACCTTCCACTGGTTTATCTGCCTATTCATCCGTTCCTTCACCAGCCAGTCACTTGGTTACCCACCTGTCTGCCCATTGTCTTATTCATCCATCTATCCAACTATCTATCCTTCTTCATCCTTTCATCTGTCTGTCCATCTGTCTAACATATTCCCATCTACCTATCCATCATGATTGTATCCATCCATCCACCCTCTCTCCCTCATGCAATGAAATTCTATGTTGAGCCAGGTCTTGCTCAAGGCATCACAAGAAGAAGGCAGGTAAGAGGGACTGGATCATAGGGCTTGGGAAGCAGGGAGATATTGGTCTTTGACCAGGGGAGTCAGAGTGATCCAAGTGATAGTTCAAGAAGGTCCCAGGTTGAAAGGGTATCCGGGGAGTTAGATTGTCGTTGGGTAGTTAGGAGACGACGGTGAGTCATTCCACCCAGGGTCACACTGACAGCAGGGGTAAGAAAGGACCTTGGGGAGGAGCAGGAGTCAACAAGACTGATGCAGTGGATCCCTGAGTAAGAGAGCAGGTGGCCTGTCTGAAACTGAGCTGGGAAATTCAAGAGGGAGAGAAATGACAGCAGGTGTGGGTGGCTTTTCTTTATTTTTAAACATTAAAAAAATTGTTTTGGAGATTACACAGAAGATGCACATAGGGGTTTACTTTTGTTTTGTTTTGTTTTGGTGGTACTCAAGACTGAACCCAGAAACTACACAATGAGCTGCATTATCCTTATTTTTGGGATAAGATTACTAGGTTGCCTGGGATAGGCTTGAACTTGGAGTCTCCTGCCTTAGCCTCCTAAGTATGCACAGCTTAGTAAAAATAATAAAGCAAGTCTCTGTGTCACCACCATCTTGGCAAAGAAAGAGAATAATATGTAATAAGATATCCATTCCGGTTTGATTATTAACTGCTTTTGAAGTCTTACAATGTCCCCAATGTTGTGTTTCTATTAAAATTGCTATGTAATGCTATGTTCAATTATATATGTCTGATGATGCAGACAATTCTATTGGAAATAACAAGAGACAGCATAGTAACTACTGTAGATCACCTAATATTGTGGTTTTATATGTCTTTTTCTTTTTCTCTTTTTGAGACAGGGTCTCTCTATGCAATTCAGGCTGGCCTTGAGCTTACTTTGTAGTCCAGGCTGATCTCGAACTCGCAACGATCCTCCCACCTCAGCCTCCTAAGTGCTGGGATTACAGGCATGAGCCACCACACCCGGCTTATATGTCTTTTTCGATTCGTGTTTTTCTAGGAATTTTTTTTGTTGTCTTGTTTTGATCTGTTTTGCCCTATAATACAGAAAGGATAGGTATACATGTAGAGATTCACACATGTGGAGGATTTCTAAACAGTTTACAGGAACAGATTATATAATGCACGATGTAATGAACAGATTCTCTAAAGGAGAGACATTAAGATACCCAGTGCTAATTATGTAGCATTATAATATAAAATCTAGCAGTACTATTATTCACTGTTCAGAGTGATATTAGTGTTGTCTCTTATGTTCAATTTCAGCATACGTAAAGATATGGACAGTTACTTCAAAGAGAACGAGAGACATGATGGCAGCCATTGTTGACTTCCCTATTGTCTGGTCTTGAAGACCTAAAAAGCCTTCATCATCCTGTTTTGATTAGTTTAGTCCTATAATGTTCAGTATGTGTTCACTGTGTGTGAAGATGTGGGCAACTATTTGTTTGCGGTATTTTAAGAAACATAGCATCTGATGATGCTAGGGTCTCATACATATTTCGGTAAAGGTTCTATCCATGAACTCAACTCTCAGCCCCATTATGAATATTCTTATGTGAAGAGTGATTGTATCTGTTTGTTATACAGACTACACAACTGGGTGTGGGATTTCTGAGCCAGGGATGTAAAGCCCACACACAGCTCCCTATACCTTGTATCTTTACTTTACTAGGTTATGCCAGTTTTCTGGAGTCCAGCCCAGTGGTAGATGAGTGTTCCCATCGCTCCATGGAGTGACACTAGGTGTCACTAATTTTGGGCACTCTGGTGGTGATTGGTGTTATCTAACAGTTATTATAGGTTGCATTTCCATAGCATGTTTATTAGCTAGTTGGATCATTTTTTTTGAAGTGCCTACTCAGATCCTTTGCCCAGTTGCATTTACAGCAGACACCTCTGATGTCTGATTTCAGCTTCTGTGAGATGGCCAAACCTCCCACTGCCAAAGGACCAGTCTTCCTACATTCTACACTAGGGCTCTCTCTAATGATATGGAAACACATAGAATGGGGAGCTGATGGCTACTGGAGAAGTGCGCTAGCCTCTTGACCTGCACGGAGACAGTGGTGCAGCTCAGAGGTCCTGAGGAACCCAGCCCACTGGCTACAACAGTGACCTTGAAAATGCCATTGTGTTGGGGTTTCCACTGCCCAACTCAGTGGCTTCTTGCCAGATCCTTGCTCCTACCGTCACTTTCTAGTTACACTGCTTCTACCCAGGGCCTTGTCTCAGCCTTGATTTTCATTTTTTTCCTGTTGATTTTGTTGGGACTATTCACATATTGAATACTACACTTCTGTCAGTTGTAGTATTGCAAATAGATTTCCATTTTGTGACTCACCTTTTTCATTCCCCTGCCTCTTGTGCTGCTTTCTTTGGAAGAGCAAAAGTTCTTTGATTTGATGTATTCTAATCGTTAAATATTTATTTTATGGTTTATGCTTTTTGAATCTGTTTAAGAAATCCTTCCCTGTTCTAATGTCTATGTTGTTGCTTAGTAGTTTTATGACTTTTTTACCCATTGCTCTTTAATTGATTTTTGTGTGCTAGGATCAGATTTTGTCTCTCCTAGCATCATTTATTGAAAAATCAACTTTTTCTTGTTCAGAAGTGCTGCCTCTGTCATAAGCCAGGTGGCTGTGTAAGAGCAGGACTGCTGGCGCATTTCCATCTTAGGTTTTTGCAGGTGTCACACTATGTTTCAATTACATTTTAGAATGTTGTCAGAATTTTGCACATTTCTGGTTAGACCCACTTCTTGGTGCTTGGTGTAGTTTGAAGTACTAGAAATGATGGTTCCACGGGTCATCTGTGGTGTTGTAATGAATTACTCATTAGACTCAGAGGCCAGGATGACAAATGGATCTTGTCTCCCAGCATTAGTGAGGCAGGAATCCAGGAGTGGCCTAGCTGAGTCCCCTGTTCAAGGTCTCTTATGAAGTTTCAGACAAAGTCTGGGCTGTGGTCTCTTCTGAAGATGAAGTGTAGGGAGCTGAATCGTGGGCTGCCCATGACATGGCCTCTGGCTTCCTGTAAAACAGCTGATCTGAGAGAGAAGGGAAAGCACATGAAATGGAAGGTTCAGCCCTTTGGTAAACTAACATCTGAAATCATACAGATTTCTATCATATTCTTCGGATTACAAGAGAGTGAGTCACTAAATCCAGCTTCTACATGAGGATGGGACTATACAAAAGCACAACCACCAGGAGATAGAGACCCTTGGGGGCCACTGTGGAGGCTGGTCTTTACAGTGCTATAATTATTTTTTCATTTTCTAGCCCTAACAGCAACCATATAGTATTGCATGATTATGTTTTAATATTGATTTTTGTCTTCAGTAATCTTGATACCATCTCTTATTAATTCTAATAGTTTATGTGTAGATTCTTTGGGTTTTTAATGTACAAATCATGTCATAAATGAATCATGAATTATACTTTATTTAGCTGATCTTTGCTTCCTTTCTCTTTCTTACTTTATGGGTCTTAGCAGACAAGATTTTAACAACAGTGGTAACAGTGGGCTTCCTTATCTTTTTACCAACACAAAGGGTAGGTTTTTCACAGTGAAAACACGAAAGTATCATGTTTGCTGTAGGGTTTGTTTTTAAATCAGATTTAGGAAGTTTTTGTCTATTTCTAGTTTTCTAAAGATATTTCTTTCTTTTGAAAATCATGGAGAAGACACTTGAACAAGATGTAACTCCAGACTTCCAGCTCACCACAGGCAAATCCAGGAGGGCAGAGAGGTGAAACAGTTCCAGAGCCACCCACCTGAACTCTCTGAAATGGTAAGAGTGGAAGTATCAAAGTAGATGAATGAGGCTCTAGAAAAAATCAAATCAGAACTCATTTCTCAGATAGCTACAGAGATGGTGACCATAATGAAAGACATGCTTTGTGTCTCTAGAGTAGACAAAGATAAAAATAGAGGAGTTTAGGAAAATCATGGAAAGCATGAGCACCCAATATAGGGAAGAAATGAAATCTATGAAACAGATTCAAACAGATATACAGGAGGTTCAAAATTTGAAAGTATATGCATCAAAACCAGCCAATGTGAATATAGAATATCAGATACAGAAGATAGTATTGCCGTTAGCAATCATGTAAAGACAGGTTTCTTAAAAATATCAAGGGACCATGAGAAATCAATTTAGTAAACAGAAGATGATGCAAAGAAGAATTGAGTCAATGAAAAAGCCAAAGATAACACAAATGATCAAAAACCCTGTTTTTAGAAGTTATGGCAGAAAATTTCCCAAACAGGGAAAATGAACTTGACATACAGATAAGTGTGACATACAGAAGTCCAGTTAACCATATAAAAAATTACACCAATGCATATAATAGTTAAGATTCTAGAAATTCGGCACAAGAACTGAATGTTGTAAGCTATTAGAGAAAAGAAAAAAAAATCGCCTATACAGGAAAGCCCAAAAGAATCAAAACAGACTTTTCAACACAAATCCTCAAGTCAAGAGGAGCTTGGAGTGAAATATTTCAAGCCCTACAAGAAAACAACCTTCAACCCAGATTGATGTACCCTGAAAAGCAGTCTTTTAAAACTGATGGAGAGATTTTTTGTTTTTATCAGTACCAGGGATCTAACTCAAGACCGCACTCTTCCACGGCAGGTGCTTATGCTGCTGAGCTAAATCCCCAGCCCCGGGAGCAGAATTCTTGCTGGATCGATTTTACTGGTTTCGATGTCCTGTGGCCTGATTAGCAGAGAACCTGGGAGACCCTTTAGACACGGAATGGAGGAGGTGACCTTTGAGGATGTGGCTGTGAACTTCAGCAATGAAGAGTGGGCTTTGCTGAGTCCATCCCAAAAGAACCTCTACACAGATGTGATGGGTGATACCTTTAGGAACATGACTGCAATAGAAATGACAAGCTAGGGAAATCCTATGGACATACACCTTTGAATCAGTGTAAAGAAGTATTTCTTTGTACTGCAGAAAGTAATGTGAATGTGAAAGAAACAGAAACACACCACAATGTTCAGATCCATGAAAAATATTGCAGTGGAGGGAAACCTGATTTATGTAAGCAACGTGGGAAAGTTTTACCACACATGGAATTTGTAAGAAACATGAAAGAATTCACAGAGGAGAGAGACCCTACATATGTAAGCAATGTGGGAAAGCTCTTACAACATGTACATAATTGTGAAGTACATGAAACTCTTCACGCTGGAGAATAACGTTATAAATGTAAGCACTGTGAGAAAGCTTTCAACACACGTACTTAGTGTGAAATCCATGAAAATATTCACACTGGGAAGAAATCATATATATGTAAGAAACGTGGGAAGGCTTTTAGCAGTAACATTAATTGTCAAATACATGAAAATGTTCACACCGGAGAGAAACCCTATGTATGTAAGCAATGTGGGAAAACTTTTAACACACATGCATATTGTAAGGAACATGAAAGAATTCACACTAGAGAGAAACCCTATGTATGTAAGCAATGTGGGAAAGCTTTTAAGATACGTGCATATTATAAGATACATGAAAGAATTCACAATGGAGAGAAATCCTATTTATGTCAGCAATGTGGAAAAGGTTTCACCCAATCTGGACATTGTAAAGAACATGAAAGAATTCACACTGGATAGAAACCCTATGTATGTAAGCAATGTGAGAATGCTTTTACCATACATGGACAGTGTAATTAACATGAAAAAATTCACACTGAGAGAAACCCTATGTATGTAAGTAATATGAGAAAGCTTTTACTACACCTGGACAGTCTAAGAAACATGAAAGAATTCACACTGGAGAGAAATCCTATGTATATAAGCAATTTGGGAAAGTTTTTACTCAACATGGACATTGTAAGCAACATGAAAGTTCACACTCAAGATATATCCAGTGTATATAAGCATTGTGACAATGGTTTGAGCACATGTGCATATTGCATAATGCATGAAAATCTTCACACTTGTCAGAAAACTTATATATGTGAGGAATGTGGGAAAGGTTTCAGCAGAAACAGTCATTGTCCAATACATGAAAAAATCCACACTTTTGAGAAACCCTATGTATGTGAAGAATGTGGGATAACTTTCACCACACATGGATATTGTGAAATACATCAATGACTTCACACTGGGGAGAAACACTATGTATATAACAATGTGGCAAAGCTTTTACTGCATGCAGTAATTGCAAAACACATGAAACAATTCACACTGGGAAGAACCACTGGCTATGTAAGCAAGTGGATACACTTTCAGCAGCCAGAGTGTAACTGAAGTACATGAAGAAACACACACTAGAGATAAATCCTATGTGTTATGGGAATCCTCTCAGCACACATGATAATTGTTACGGATCTGAAAGAGCTCACTGGGCTGAGATCCTATGTGGATTAGCAATAGAGCAATCCATATTTGTTGTTAAATACATAGAAGAAAAACACTGGTCAGACAGTTTAGATCTAAGTTTACTTTAAAATTCCCTAGGAGACATAAAGAAATAATCAATACAGAAGTTTGATGTCAACATTTCTTCACAAATTTTCCAGAAACGACAAATCTGAGGTGGAGCTTTCCTCAACTGCACACGTTGTATGGTTTTCAGTTAATCACTTGTACCTCTCTAGATTTTTTAAAGTGTCTTTGTGCTTCAACATGGCATCTTGTAATTAAACATGGTAAACTGAAATGTGCTTTTCACTTTCAAGAATGAATGGTGACTGTTGTAGTCAGGGGCTGTGCACAGAGAACAATTGGATCAAGACAGGAGTTTATAATATTATTTTTATAATAGTCACTGGGAGTTAACACAGGAAATTGCAGGAAGTCTATCCGCAACACCAAAGACATAGATTATTTAGTCAAGAGCCTAAACCCCACAGCAATGTCCCACATGAGTCCATATAAAAATCCAGAGCTCAGTACAATGCCTCCCATAAGTCCAACTGGAGGTCCAGAGCCCACAAGATGGACTCACAGAGTTTCTTTTATGGATCCATGCCGGGAAGACCCAAGGGTCAGCAGTGGAAGCTAGAAAGTCTGTGCCAGCCGGATGAAGGAGCTGTGCTACTGGGATGAGGGTTCTACCCTGGAGCCGAGAAGTCACACTCACAACAAAGACCAGGGCTATCCTGAAACACACCACAGCTGTCCCAGTGACACGGAGGCCACAAGCTCCTCCGATGACAAGCACAGTCAGGTACATGCCAGGAAGCAGCATAACGAGCTCATCTTGGAGACCAAGCAGCACATGTCTTCCCATCTGGAGCCAGGAAGCAATGCTTGATGTGAGGACCAAGGCTTCTCCAGGAGAACCAACAGCTCAGACAGCGACTCTTAGGAGAACCCACAATGCCTCCTTAATGCCTCAACCCTTATCCACGTCACTTCTTCTCCACCTACTTATCCTGGCAACTTTCCTCAGGTGGAGCATCTTTGCTCAATGCCATGCTGATGTAATCCAGCTGGCGTAAAGTTGACCACCAGTTCTTAATGCAAAACAGTGTCTATGTACTTAATGCTTTGGCTTTAAAACTTAATTTTTATATATTTTTGTGAATTGTAATATTTTTTTAAAGAGAAAAAACAGAAAAAGGGTAGAAATAATACAGAATTTCACAAAAATAAACAATATGTATTCACTAGTTGATAAGTTACATATTGTCATCTTAGAAATAGTTGTTCAAGTTAAAAAAAATAAAGCATACAAAGTGACATTCAAATAATAAAAAAAACTGATGGAGAAATAAGACACTTCTGTGACAAAGAATACTTGAGAAAAATCATAAACACCAAATCAGTACTCCAAAATGTTCTGAAGGATATTGTAGAAAGAAATAACAAGGATTATAACTCCAGGGACACCAACAAATGAATCCACCAGATAAAAAGTCCTCAATAAGATACTGGCAAACACGATGCAGCAAATCATCAAAAAGATTATACACCATGATCAAGTACGATTCAGCCCAGGAATGCAGGGACGGTTCAACATGTGCAAATCAATAAATGTAATGCAACATATTAACATAGCCAAGGGCAAAAACCATATTATCATCTCAATAGATCCAGAAAAAGCATTTGGCAAAGTCCAATACCCATTCACAATAAAAGAAAACCTGTGGAAAATTGGAGTAGATAATTTTTATCTTAACCTGATAAAAGCCATCTATGATAAACCAACATCCAGCATCATACTAAATGGACAAAAACTGAAAGCTTTCACTCTAAAACAAGGAATAAAACAAGAATGTTCACTGTCACTGTTCTTATTTGATATAGTTCTGAAAACATTAGCCAGAGCAATTCAAAGAGAAAGAAGTAAAAGAAATAAAGATCGGAAAGAAGTTAAATTGTCATTAATTGCGGATGACATAATACCGTACATAGAGTATCCCAAATATTCCACCAAAAGACTTCTAAATTCAATAACCAAATTCAGTAGCATAGCTGGATAGAAAGTCAAGACTCGAAAACCAATAGCCTTTTTGTACACAAATAACAAACTCATTGAGAGATAAATAAGGGAAACAGTGCCTTTCATGACAGCATCCAAAAAAGAAAGAAAGCAAGACATAGAAATCAGTCTAACAAAAGAAGTAAAAGACCTCTACACTGAAAATTATAGTGCTCAAAAAAAAAAAACAGCATAACAGAAATGAGGCAGAGAAGGTTGGTTATAATCTCTAACATAGATGGCCTTGATACACTAAATTAAAAAAAAAAAAGAGCCACACGTGGAGTAGATCAGGAGGAGGGTCCACCGAGATGCTATTTATAGGAAATATAATTAACATGAAAAAGAGTACATGGACTGAAAATCAAAGATGAGAAAACAGTGCTCTGTGTGACAGACAACCAGAGTAATAGGGGCAACTAGACCAGTATTTGTGGACAAGTTGGAAAGACAGGCTTTAATAGGTAAAGGAATACAATTAGAGATCAAGTCCATGAGCGAGAAGGTTCGGAACCATTTAGGTAAATAGCAGGTTGCCCCCCTCAATTTAAAACCAAGGGTCTTGGTCAGACCCGAAAATCCACAGTGTACCCTGGGGAAGTGAAAGGGAGGGAGAGTCCTAAAAAAATGGCAGAAGATATTGTTCATAATGAATCAGGATTTAAAACCCACATTATTCACACCACTCTGCTTAGATAGATTTTATTCTGTCCCAGTTTGTCTACTTACATTAGATTTGAGGGCACAGACAGCTATCCCAGAAACATCAGGATATAGCACAGTAATCATCTTTAATTTCCTATTATCTTTATTTTTTTACATTTTTTATTTAAAGAGAAAAACAAAACAAAATAAAACAGTAGAAGGCTACAAGTAATACAGAATTTCAAAAGAAAAAATATACAGTAAGAATTCACTAATTAATAGATTACATATTGTCATCTCAGAAACAGTTGTCCAGGTTACAAAATTAAAGCATACAAAGTGGACATTAATACAGTGAGATTGCAGACAGTTCTGTTCAATGATCTAACAAAAACTCAGTAATATGGTTTTCTATCCTACATACTTAAATATACTTGCAGTTATATCCTTTAGATCATTTTCTTTCCTCTCTTTTTTATGCTAACAATCACACATTTTGGGTTCCATTACTCCCACAGTTCCCATAACTTTTTCTTTGAAGAGGAAAAGAAAAAACAAAACAAAACCCAATGTGACAAAGTAAAACAGAGTCAGAAAAGGAGGATGGACATAGTATATAATGCAAAAAGCGATTACTAGGTGATCAACAAAGATTACCATTATGCCTCTTGTTATCTTAAAAGGAGTTGCCTATATCAGCTGGTATAAAAGAATTGAACAAAACAGTATGGAACAAGACCAATAAAACCCACATTGGAGACCTTACAGGACTTCCCAAGAAGATAATAGTCAAACCATAATGGGCATCATAGAATATCTTGTTGCCTTCCAAGTGGTTGCCTATACCCTCAAATTTGATACTATTAAACAAAACAGAATATAATAAAATCAGTCAGAACAAGATGTGGAGAACAATACAGGGGTTCAAATCAGGTTAATAGGAAAACAAAAAAGTTGCTATAATATATCCCGCTATTTTTAATTTAGTTTTCCCTTAATTAAAAGATACTAAGAAATAAATTATTTTTTAAAAAAGGAAAAAAAGGGGGGAGATTGAGATAAAAAAGAACATATCAATAGAACAACACAGGTCAGAACCGAACCATTTAAACATCATTGGGTTTCACCACCAGATAGCCTGACATTAGTAGTAGTTACCATAGTGTCTCTCCTTGGAATATTTGAGTCTAACTTCGTATACTATAGCATCAAACTTATCAAGACAGTGTGAAACCACTCAAGAGAATGAAAGTATTGCAGGGTATTTAGAACCAGCTAACAGAAACCGAACATTGGTTTCTATATTATCTCTTTGCCTATAAAAAATTTTGCTTATACTATTGCATACATTAAAATATAATAAGATACAACATGTTAGAACCAATGGAAACAGACGAACAACAACTTGATGGGACTTCAAAACAGGATGATATTAAATCAGCACTAGCTATTACACTGTCTTATTTTCTTCAAAATAGCTATTCGTAGTATCACAGACTATAAAATAGAACAACCCAGATTAAAACCATTCCAATTAATGAGTGAAAACATTATATGGCTTCAGACGAGTGTGACTGGGAATCATGATTACCATGTATTTTATGTATTCTTATCATTTCTTACACTAGGGAAACTTCGGTATTTATACATGTGAGTTTGATTTATTTCACTTACGAGTATGGTCTCAAACTGCATTCATTTATTTATAAATGTCTCAATGTGATCATTCTTTATTGTTGAGTAGTACTCCATTGTATAAAAATACCACAACTTTTTTATCCATTCCTCAGTTGATGGACACTTAGGTTGTTTTCAAGATCTGGCTATTACAAATTGTGCTGCTATAAACATGGGTGCACATATATCACTGTGGTATGATGCTTTCAGTTCTTCTGGGAATATGCCTAGAAGTGGAATAGCTTGGTCAAATGGGGCTTCCAGTCCCAGGTTTCTGAGAAATCTCCAGACTGACCTCCACAATGGTTGCACTAGTCTACACTCCCACCAACAGTGCAGGAGAGTTCCTTTTCCCCCACAGCCTCTCCAGCATTTGTTGTTGGTGGTTTTCTTGATCTTGGCCATTCTTTCAGGAGTGAGATAGAATCTCAGTGTGGTTTTAATTTGCATTTCTCTAATGACTAATGATGATGAGCATTTTTTCACATATTTATTTGCCATTTGTATTTCTTCATCTGAAAATTGTTTATTCATCTCAGATGCCCATTTTTGGATGGGGTCTTTGAATTTTGGGGGTCTGATTTTTTTAATTCTTTATATATTTTAGACAGAAGTCCTTTGTCTGAGGGGCAGTTCACTAAGATTTTTTCCCAGTTTGTGGTTTTCTTTTCACTATGTTAGAGATTTCTTTTGATGTGCAGAAACTTTTTAATAAGATGTGATCCCAATTATTGACTCTGGGAAATATTTCCTGTGAGGTTTGAGTCTTGTTCATGAATTCTCTACCTACCCCTATGTCTTCAAGGTTTTTACCCAATTTGTCTTCCAATAGATTTAGCGTTTCTGTTTTAGTATTTAGATCTTTGATCCATTTAGATTTTATTTTAGTATATGGTGATAGGGAAGGGTCTAGTTTTAGTTTTCGGCATATGGAGAGCCAGTTTTTCCAGCACCACTTATTAAAGAGATTGTCGTTCTTGCAGTGAACATGTTTGGCCCCTTTATCAAAGATAAGGTGGTTGAGTGTGTT